GGCGTTGACAACTATTCTCCAGTAACAACGAAAGGCTGCCTGCAAGCAGCGAACTGCAGAGCCCACATAAGCAACCATCAAAGGAGGAAGAATCTGCACCGCTATGCTATGGATCGGAATCAGTAGCTCTTCGTGAGTCGCTGCGGGTCGGTCATCTATGCCATGCGTGTCACCCTCGCTCCAAACGACATTCAGCTCGACAGCCTCATCCGTGTTGAACACCCAGCTCAGAATTACTTAACCATCACTACAAAATGGTCCTTTTCAGGGCCACCAAAAATTTTTTAAAGAGACTTATTTGGACATTGGTAAGGTCATCAGTTCCCGCAAGCAGCTAGCTATCAAGGCTCAACCTGTCTATAGAAGGTGTGGAATTGTAGGCCTGAATATATTGGTGCAATTAGTTTTTCCTCGGCTTTCATTCCGCACGATTCGTTTCATTCGTTTAATCAATCACCCTTGCAGTGACGTCGAAAAGATTGTTTCAATCGGCGCTTACATATGAAATTTTATGTGGATTATAGAATTTTTTGTATGTTACCAAAATTTATGAATGGTTTGCCACTAAATGTTGAGATAATTTATTGATTATTAAATTATCACACTGTATACCATGAAAAAGCAGCCTGTTTGTGAGTTTTTGCCTGTTTTCAAGTAAGGAGTTATTATAAAAAACAAATCGCCAGTTGGTATTTCTCGGCGACTTTACAAATAAATAAAATCAAACAAAATCATCAAGCAGAACTAGCTAGGATTTGTTTTACTTCATATTTCACAAAATTGCTGTCGAGTGTTAAGACATCGTCTCCCGCAAAGTTTGCATTTTTTCCCTCTAACAACACATACATCACGGCTAGATAGATCTCCACAGGATCTATAGAATCCACGCAATTTAAAAAAAAAAAACCAAAATGCACAGCATTACGAAAAGAGGTCAGGTTTCGACCAATAGCAGATAGATTTTAATTCTAAACAAGCCAAACGATTGGAAATTTATCTACCAATCTGCTAGAATGAACACAGGCCCGAATGTTCTGGTGAGATTAATCATCGTCCGACCATTTTCCAGAACACGCTGGTAGGAAGTGTTAAAAATCTATATAGAATTTGAGAGAAGTGGGAATAATTCGCAAATTTGTGGGAAAATTAGCTCTCACGAGTTCAATTTCTCGAAGTCCCTCCTTTTTTACATATTCTGCACAAACGATACTTTCCGCCCCGCCCCATTCATATAATTCGGAAGGAAATCCTGTGAGGGGTGAATTGAATACACTTTAATACCAAAATGCACAAAACTTAAAAATTCATAAATAACAAAAAATTCAAAATACACCTTTTAATCGGGTAGATGAATCGAAAAAACTCAAGTTGACAGTCCCTTGGATTCTCTTCTTCAACTTTCTCTTTGAAATAAATTCTACAAATTTGATACGCTTACAAATAGAAAACGGAAAGAGTTAAGATAATTGATGATTGATCAATCAAAAGAACTAAATGATCTTCACATTTGTTCCGTCCACTAGCGGTCCTACGTCAAGCTTCCGTTCGTGTCCCTAGGCACAGACCCTTCTACTTTTTTTAAGATCTTAGGACTTCCCTGAAGTTCGGAGTTTTTTTGAAATTGATACGAATTTCATAAATATCGTAGAAGTACCACGAAGTTCGTAGAAATTCTCAGAAGTTCGTAAGACTTCCTTCAAGTTTGAAGAACTTTCTCGAAGATCTGAGGACTTCCCTGAAGTTTGAAGGACTTGACTGAATATTTGAGGACCCTAAATTTAGAAGAGCTTCCCTGAAGTTCATAAGGCTTTAAATATCGAAGAGTTTTCCAAAAGTTTGTGGGTCTTTCCTTAATTACTTGGAAATTCCCTGAAGTTTTCAGAGCTCCCATGAATTTCGTAGGACTACCTGTAGTTCAATCGACTTCTCGGAAGTTCTAGGAACTTTTTTGAGCTTGGAGAACTATGTTCAGAGGACTTCCCAAGAGTATTGAAGACTTCTCTGAAGCTCGGAAAAAAATCCATAAGTGTCATAGGATTATCCTTAAGTTTTAAGTAATGCCTAAATGTCGTAGAAGTTACATTAAATCTGTAGAAAATCTGTAAAATTCGTAGTTATTCCCCAAAGATTAAAGGACTTCCCTGAAGTTCGTAAGACTTCTCTGAAATTTGTAGAACTTTTCTGAAGGTTCGGAGAGATTTCCTGACCGTCGTAGGTCATCACAGTAGTTCACAGGATTTTCCTAAAACTTGTAAGACTTTCCCGAATGTTGTAGAACTTGCATGAAGTTCGAAGGCCTTATCTGAAGTTTTTAAAAACAGAACTTTTTTATTGAACATGTTGAACAGGTACTTCAAAGTAGTTACGCGTCAGCACTGCTTAAGTCTGCTATCAATTAAGCACACATAATACATGCAATTGATTCGAGAAAAAATTAAATTAAAAATAAATACAAAATAAATTTACTAAATTCTCAGGGTAAATTTTGTTCATCAATGTTTAGTTGGGTGAAAGATTTAGCTTGAACAAAATGGTTAGTTTTGACCTGATTATAAAAAGAAACTTTGACAAACATAAAATTTAAAACCAACAAGATTATTTTCCTGGTGGACTTATGAAATTCCTGTTTTTTTCCCGGTTTTTCCTGGTGAAAATAAATTCCCGACTTTTTCCCGGTTTTCCTGGTTTACTTGCCAATCAGAAATAAAGATTTGTCTTGAAGAATTTCAATTCACCCAATGACGGCGATGGAATCCAACCCTGACCAAGGAATCCAAATTATCTTAAAATGACAAAATGACGCTTTGACAGAATTGGTAATTAAAAAAATAACCGTTTATAGATAACCATATGTTTTTTAGCAGAATTGCTCTACAATACGTCTATTTGGCAGAAAAAAAAAATATGATATGAGATTTACGTTAACATGTCCAGATCTCCAGAAATTCAGAGGCGTCGCGTGCCTCATTTGTTTACCTGTGCACCAAACTTTGTTCGTTATAGCTTACCACCACATATTAGTTTTTGTATATTTTTCAATGCTTCATGAATTCGAGGGACATATTCTCAATTACTATATTAATCACTACCTAACGTAACATTTGAAGGGCCTACAATCTTTCGACTGAAGTGTAATGAAGAATATCCGTCAAACACTTCCGAAAACATTTTTTGATACAAAACAGTTTCAAAATCTAGAGAAAACTCATTATGTCCCCTCGGTAGCAAACTTGAATTAATCAACTCTTTATTCATCAGAACAACACTATCAGAAAGAACCAGGGGAAGCTCATAAGTTTTTACAGGCGTACCGGCGCAACCATCGGTAATTGAGAGATTTACAACTGACAAGAGAGTAAAAGCGAGTTTTTGCGCTCTCTTTCTCCATTACTCTCTTTGCCTGCAATCAGATATCCAAGTGCACAGCGAGAAATGCACACTTTGGGCACCCATACATCACAAATGTTCTTCTAATTTAAACTCACACATTCAAACTGGTCTGCAAGTATGATAACGTCCAAAGCGTACCAGACAGATTACAACTAGTGGTGCAAACCGCCATGTATTGTGGACAATTTGTGGTATGTTTCAAGAGGTGATAGAAGGTCTGCTTGGCTTACATCAGGCATTGACCATTCACAAACTTGCCACCCGCCACCCAAAAAAGCTCGCTTTTAGGTGCACTATTTAACGAGTTTTGTCATGGTAGTGTTATCGATATGCTTAGAAAACAATGCATTAGGGATTACTCAGACCATCCGAACCGTTTTGAAGCAAACCAAGGTCGAAGATTAAATTGAGCCACACTATAAAATAGTGTATTCATGGTCACTTGTAATTTGGAGTAAAGTAGTACAGCTATAATGTGACCATAAAATCTATTAAAAAAATCTAAACGCATTTTTTCAATTATTCACACCTGTGTCGTGCACAGGTTGCACATGTGGACGCGACGCCACTGCCAGAATCTCATAAAATCATGAATTCGTATAAAATCAAAGAGTCTCCTGCAAAAAATTAGCCTAAATGTTATGTTGGTGTGTCGTAAAAAGCATATATCAATACAAGGGACCAGAGCAGGAGAATCGCAGTATTAAAAGTTCTTCATATCATCCTGGAGATTAGATCTTGAAGTCAGCGGCGTCCCGTATCCTCACTTGTTACCTGTGAACCACCTTTCAAAACCAGATTTAATAAATCGCCACTGCTTGAAGTTAGTTATGTCAAACAACAGTTTTTGGGTTACTACAAAAGATTACTAAGATGTTTATCATTCTCCTAATTGCCCTGGAGATCTTGAAACAAGAGCAGCAATTTTCCCTGGAGATTGAGAAGCGAGTTTACAAGGATTGGGAGCAAATGTGCGCGGATTAGTAGTGGAAGCTTGGTAAATGGAATCGGTATTGTGAATGGAAGAAGTGTATAGAATTCAGAAAGAGGAGTGTTGAAAGTGTGCTATCAGCATAACATTACATTATGTTTGGAAAAGAACAGGATCGGTTATTGCTGATGTGATGTTTTGCTGTACCTGTTGTGAACATTAGTTCATCCTTTTCCTTAAGCTTGTTGAGGACGCCTTTTCTTACCTCAAAGGTTATCCCTTTTTAAAGTACTGATCTTCACAACATATAGTAAATTGCACCATTAAGGAGCATTAGATTTGATCAAATTATTCGCAGTGAGGGGTGAGGTGAGGGGTAAAGGATGACACACACACATTATCCAAATTGTTCTGGAGATATTTTACAAGTTAGTCGAAATCTTGTTCGATTTCCACTCAGAATGTTTGAGCATTGTGTGCTTCACTGAGACTCATTACATCATTTAAAATTAATAATTGTGTTTAAAAAACAACGTTGTTTGATTATCCAAATCATCCCGGTTATCTGTTATTGAAGCTCTACAGTCTCAACAAGGTATACGATGATTAACAAGTCCCATCGGAATCACCTAATGCCTTAATTGATCATGCTGGCAAACATAACATAACCTTCACTTACGTAATTCTGGAATTGAGCAATCAAGAATCCAGCCCCGTGGTGAGGCCTCTTCCACGTCGAACCGAACTAGAGGTGGTTCGAAACCGACGAAACACACACTTTCTGCTGCAGTCCGGCTTCTCCGTTGGCGGTAGAATTTTACTGCCAAATTATTGTGTCCGCCCTTTCTTAATCTCTTCCTTCTGTCAACACACAACACTGCGCCTCTGCTGGGACTACTTGCACTCACGCAAACTTCAAACCTTGAGGTTTAGGTTTATAATGGAGCACTACAACCCACTTCTATATTGCCACTTGATTAGGCTGCTGCCATTCAATTTCCAATTTATTAACTTTGATCACGTAACAGCAGCGCACCAACTTCTTCTTCACCTTCTTTGACTGGACAAAACCCAAATACCTTCTAATTTTCGACTCCAAGGAGGGCGCGCAAGGGCACACTTTTGCTCTTTTCACCAGGGCCTCAAATTTTCTTCGTTTTCCTCGATTACTTACGGGTAATAAAATTGGATTTCACTTCAGTTTTACCATCATGAGCTGGTGGTGCCTGTCGCGTTCAATCGGCTTCCACTTATGCAATCAACTTGGATTTCTGTATTTCTCTTCCTCTTCGATCCGATTCGACCGACGACGCACTTTTTTTTCTTGGATTTGCGAAATGGCTCACCGAAAGAGCGGTAGACCACACAGAGCAGCTACGCAACTTTCGACGCCCCCCAAAGTTGACGACACGAATAGATTTACTCTTCAGACTGCTACCAGCCTCGTAAGGTTCACAACACTGTTGTTTCTTCTGCAAAGCACTTTGGTAGATTTTAATTTCGTAAACTTTTTCCACGTTTTTTTTTTTCTTTAATTTCCTTCCTTTCTGCAAGGAAAAACAAGTGCGTTTTTCGATACTCTCATGAATCACTTGCTCTTTCTCTTCTTGGAACCTTTTTTCCTACCCTTTACAAGCACATATGCACCGGTCGGTCGGCAGCAACAAGCTCCTTATGAAATGCCACTTGCAGGAAACTTGAAACTGAAACGATTGTTTTCAACTTTCTTGTGTCGATGCATTCCGTTCCCAACTGCTTGCTTGCTCGCTTACTTGCTTCCTTTCACTTTTTTTTTCGCTCCTCTGCAGACTGCCTGGAAGTTTACTGCTTTTTTATTCTTCGTTCGAGATTGGAATTTTTACTTCTTGAATTTTTGGTTTGTTTCCTGAACACCACAGCACGCTCACGCCTTTTGCCTCTTGCTCTTTCTGATGTTTACTTTAATTAAATTTATTGAATAACAACTGAGGCGGGTCGGGATTTTGGCCTGTAAACGAATATGTGTGCTATCAGTGTAAAAGTTGATAATTATCCATTATGGCAAGTTGCTGCTTTCAACATGTTGTTTAAACCGGAGTGAGTGATGGTGCGAGAAGTGGGAAATTCAATTTATTGCTCAAGTTCCAGATTTATCTGCGTGATGAACGGACTTGCGGATATGTTTCGAGTATTTATCATACGTTGGATCACTTTTCTTTTAAGCTTGCGGAGATGCGGACCGGAGCTGGCCAGAACATGAAGAATGCCGACATGCATGATAATCGTGGTTGGATTTTTGTTCGTATGCTGATTATCATAATGGATAACTTTACATTCCAGTGCCAAATGAAAGGTATTAGGGTAAACGCTCCTATAGTTGCGGTACGTTAGAAGCGTTAGGTTCCTATAGTTGTGTATGGAGACTCCATACACAACTATAGGAACCTAACGCTTCTAACGTACTGCAACTATAGGAGCGTTTCCCCTATGATGCCACAGAACACTAATGGATATTTAAGGAATCAGTTCATTGCAGTGCTTTGGTTCCATGGACAAATATATTTACAGGATCAAAATGGTTACTTCCGGACATGTTCCGGATGCCCTCAGAAATTATGCAAGACATAAAGTATCTACAACCTCCCATAGCTCAGTCGAAAAAGGCGCAGTTACAAAGCAAGACCATGATGGAGGTGGCTGGGTTCGATTCCCAGTCCGGTCTACAATTTTTTTGGGCTGGAAAATTTCTCGACTTCCCTGGGCATAGAGTATGATTGTACTTGCCACACAATTATATTAATGTAAAAATGGTACAGGCATCGAAAGCTCCCAATTAATAACTGTGGAAGTGCATCTAGAACACTAAGTCTAAATCATGGTCTACAGAACCCTCATAAAACCAAAATTGTTCCTTGGGAAGTGCATTTTCATTTTGAAATTCCCGGTTTTTTCCGCAGTGCAAATCATAAAAATATCCCAGTTGCTCACATTCAGTAAGGAACGAAAATGTTCCATAAATTGAGGATTTAGGGAAATTTCCAGGATTATGGTGAATGACTTATAATTTTTTTTTATTCTCAATTAGTGTTTGAAAAAATATTCAAAATGTGGGATCTTTCAAACAAAATTAAGATCGCAGATTTTACCCTAAACAATTTTCAAGGCTTTGGCACTTGAAAGAACTTTCAGGAATCTAAAAATTTAGATTTTTTTATAGAATTCTGTAACCTAATCGAAGTTTCTGGTAAAATTAAAAGGAATTAAAGTGTTTATTCAAAGGAAATGCTGTGGAGGATTCCAAATAAATCCTGCTAAAAAAAATCTAAGCGAGCTTTGACCAGAATTATAAATTTCTATATAAGGGAAACGCAGCAGTATTGGCCATGTGCCTATTTTGGCCACCTTTTGATGAAATTTCACGTTTTATACAATTTTGAGATGTTCAGTTGCATTCAGTTTGTTTTTACAAACCATATTCAGCGGTGTACATTTCGACCACAAAATACACGAATATTGAAATTTAAACGATTTTTTTAGTTGTGACCAAAATAGGAACCTATGGCCAATACTGGTGCACTTCCCCTAGGGAATATGGCTCTAATATTGGCCTGTGGATCTAAGATTGGGCCCATCGCTAAAAATCTACTATTGATCAATTTTATCTAGTTGAACGCGTCATTGGGACGGTTCTAATGGATAGTTTTGGCCGCTATTGAAAATTTAGTCGATTGCTGAATTTATGTATGGGCCCAAATTAGGGGCATTTAGGCCGACAAAATATCAAATGAAAGGTAATTAAAAATAGGTTTTATTTTTCTATCTTTATTATGGAGACTTTCAGCCCTGGGCTGGTTCGTCTCCGGGGAGAATAAATGGGTTTAAGGAAAAATATAATGATATTAAAAAATTGGGATTTTGTTTGAAGGACATTGCTTTTTATGGTTTTTTATGGTTTATAGACAGAGGGCGCAATGTTTTAATACTTTTCCTTGATAATTTTGGCTTTTTTACACAACATAAAAAAATTGTTTATGTGTTTTTTTTTAGATTTTGGGCTATCAAATTTAGGGTTTTCGGAGTACATATTGAGCGAAAACGCAAAACTTGATATCTTCAAAACAATATAACTCAAAAACGAAAAAAAAACACGGTTTCTGTTTTTGATAAGTTGTGTAAAAAGCCTAAATTTTCAAGGAAACATATAAAAACGTATTGGACATGGAAATGGTCACTCTAATGACAAAATAATAATAAATAAGGGTCTAATATATTGCGATAAGGAACAAATCTACAATTTTTACAAAATTCTGAGAATCACTTTATCGTTTTGCTATGGAAGGGCTGCTTAGTTCTAAGAAATTCTGAGATGAATTCTAAGGTATTTGTGGTTAGAAGAAAGGAAGCACTGAATTGAATTCTTAGGTGATTCCGAAGCGACTGGTATTTGGATATTTTTAATATAGGTCGATTGTGACTTGCTCGCGGATGAGATTTGATCTGGTGAGTTTGGCGTGAGATGTATGGATGTTAACTGCTACACCAGGGTCGTCCCCGGATACTAGGTTTTAAGCAGAATTCAAAAAGAATTATAAACAGAATTTAAGGGGTATTCTGACGATAATTTAAAATGAATACTGAAGAAGATTCAGAAAAATAATTTCAGTGAAATTCCGAAAAAAATGAGGACAATTTAAACGAAATTCTTAGGAACGATTGAGTAAAGTTCAAATGAAAAATTTCTAAAGGATTTCTTGAAAGAATATCAAAGGATTTCTAATGAGCTTTTTGAGTTCAAAAACAAAATTTGAGAAGAAATTAAAAGGCATTTAATTATTGAAATCTAATTTAATTATTTAAATATACATATTGATATTGAAGGGACCATCGAGTTATAGAATAACAATTCCAGTAGCCATGAAATTAATGTTTACTATAACTCGATATCGAGTTAGTGGACATTGAATTATGGAGAGTTGACTGTAGTTAAAAAATAATTTTAAGAAGGATTCCAAGGTAATTCTCAGGAGAATTCATGGGGAAATTAAAAAAAAAACATGGTAATTACGCGGAGAATAGGCAATTTACTGGTAAGTTTAAGGGAAATTCCATGATAATACTTAAAGTGCCATATTGATATTTTCACATGCCATGTCAAAAGAGCAGTTTCTCTTCGTAATTCTGAAGAACAGAACACTAATAAACACAATCCTTCAAATTTAATATGAAAATTAGATTACAATTCTAGATAGAGCTGGAATTAGGGCGTAACAGCTTTTGTAAACAATGACTTCTCTTAAAGATTTCTAGGAATTCAAGGCACGCCTACAGCCGGCAGTGTGAAAATTGTATATAGAGAGTAGAATGCAATCAAGGACAACTTTGAGGAAGGTACGAATTGTCATCTCTCTTTACTAAATTTCCCAGTTGCCACGACTAGCCAGCATGTTTTTAAAGAAATTCTGAGTTGTATTCCAGGTGGTGCTAGGAAATTCCAAGGAGGATTACAAAAGAATTCCAGGGCATTTTGAGAAGAAACTCAAGGGAATTCGCAGCTGAAATCCAAGGAATCTTTAGGAAACTACTTTTTTTTAAGTTCGAAAGGATATAGGGTTAACTACCCCATTTTCGGCCTAATAAGCACAACCTGCACTTAGTATTTCTTAATCTAGCGCAGTTCAGCACCAAACGGAATGTTATTATTACTGATAGCTTCCAAATTTATTTACCTTTCCGTACCGTAAGATTTGATAAAGAGAAACCAATCGTTGAGATATTGTCAAAAGTCTAACACTGCTTCTTGACGCCAAACTCGGCCTACGGATTCTAACCTCGGCCTAACGCATTGAAACGCCATTTAAACGCCATTGAAACGCCAATGAATACACTTCGGCCTATCGGATGAAGATAAAAATTGATTCCGTCGGGCGTTTCTTTTGTTTTTGGGAATAATGGGTGCAAACCTTCATATCACACGTTCTTATTGACTTAGTTCCGTAGCTTATTAACTAAAGTATCGTGCCAAACGCATAATTGACTTGTTAACTCTGAAATTATGGATTTATTTGATGTTTTCTGCTCGATAGGCCCGAAATGGGCGATTAGGCCGAAGTAGCTCTCTACCCTACCAAAAGATAGACGTTAATTTTAAAGTATGGAGAGAAAATAAAGTAAATTCTGACACGAATTGTAGAGTGATTTTTAAAAGTTGAGACTCTAATTCTGAATACAGTTCCTAAAATCTATGCAGAAAATCAAGCTAGTTTTATGATTCCTAGTGTCAAAGGAATTCCTCAGAAAGTTCCAAATAGAATAATTCACCGGGTATGTTGAACATGTTTATAAAGAAATTCTGAATTGAGTTCTTGGATTCTTGGTCACTATACAATACATCTTAAAACTATAGTCAAAAGGTACAACACAATAAACACTTTATCTTCCGCTATCCAAAAAGCCTCCTCAATCAGAACTGGAGTCGCTTCCAGTGGTTTCATTGTATGGCAGTTACGCCATCGTGGGGCAAAGCGCTTCCATTTCAGCAATGGACGCAAAACGTGGTCAACACTCACACACTCATCACGAAACGGTTGCTTTCCAAAGTCGACGACGCATCGACCGAAAGAACTGCTGGTGAAGAACAATGAGGAGCAGCACACAATGGTTGCTGCCGAGAAAACAGACGACCGCGTGGCACACATCGAGAGTGGCCTGCTTTTGTCGACAGCCGAGTGAACACTGGATTAAGTTCCATGGGGTTCTAATCAATTTCCAAAGAAATTGTATGTTGAATTTGTATGGAATTCAGGGAATTTGTATGGAATTCAGGGAATGTGTATGGAATTCAGAGCTGATATCCAATGAATCTTAAGGCAGGGCTGATAGTGGCTATGTAATATAATAGTTGTGACTTAAGTGAATAACATAACAAAAATAGTTACCAAATAGTGACATTAGAACAATTAAAAAGTTACTAAAAGTGACATTTATTGACTGAAAAAAATGGTTCCAATATTCCGTTGACTGCGACCCACTTCAAGAATTTCCTTTAATCACCTTTAAAATAAAACAAATAATGGTTTGAGGATCCCGTAAATTTGATAGAGAAAAATAATTTTTTGTTAAATTATCATTAGGTAGTCAAATAATAATTTTATTAATGCAATACGCAAGTGCATTGTCCATTTGCTCACTCTGACTCATCTTTCTGACTCGATTTATCACACCAAACAATGTACTATGATGATTTTAAACGCGAATTGGTTATTAGAACGAACAATTGAGGCACAGAGAAAAATGTTCAAAGCCTACGACAGATTTTGACAAATTTTTAGACAATCAATTTAAAAAGATGTCACCTTAAATTTCCACAACTCTGGAACCTAAAACTACCTACAACTTCTCTAGATAGCAGTCTAAGAAAAAATCTCATTATTCTGATACGAGGAAAATTTTCTAAGATGGTAAGATCGCGGATAGAAATGCATCCAATACTTAAAATCTCGATCTCGAAAAAAATGTAATAGTCCGGAAAACATGCAATTCAATTTAATGAACTAAGCAAAGAATTCAAGATTCTGCGGCATAATTTTTTCTCGATGTTTGGTAGAATATTAAAACTACCGGAATCAAAGATTTTTCAACATTGTAGTCTATGAAAAAATGTCAGAGTATTTTTAAGAAATAGTGACTTTAGTGACTTTTGGATGGAAAAAGTTACTTTTCAGAGACTGCCATGAAAATAGTGACCTATCCACTAAAAAGTGACCTGTTACCAACCCTGGAGAAAACTTTCCAAAATCAATAGGATATACCAAAAGATTTCTGGAGAAAATTCCAAAAGAATTTTAAATAAAATTATGGAGAGAAAATTTAGCAAATTCTGGTGCGAATTATGTAGTGGATTTCTAGAGTTTCTGGAGGGAATTCCTTAAGTGTTCTGCATTGAATTCCGACACTGTTATGGAGAAAATGTCTGGGGATTGTTTGTTTGTTTATTGATCAATAGCGTAAGATAAATGTATGTTAAAATTCCTACGGTTTAGTAATAATTACAAATATCACTAATTAAAATAATCATTATGTCTAGTCTATTCAACTCATAAAATTATCTTATTCGGGAAAGTTGATGCAGCCACTTTTGAACTCTTCCCACTTGGATTGCCGCGGAGAATTATAAGATTTTTGAGAGGAATTCTGCAAGTAACTCTGAAGACATTTTGGAATTTTTGATTCTAAGGGAATCCTAGAGAAAACTTCAAAGATATACTAATTATTCCTCAGTAACAATTCAGTTAATTCAAACATTGAAATTTTTTAGAGTTCTCACTGAAATCAGTTAGTAAAATTATCATTATGTTAGTCTTGACAAATTTTCGAAACTCGTTGCTAATTTTTGAGATCTCCGGCTTAATGTTTAACATCCCGTACTAAAGAAATGTAAAGAATTCTGAGTATGAGGAAAATTCAATATTCTAAGAGAAATATTCAAACTGTGAATTTTTTATGAACATCATTCCATTATTATAGGTATAAAAAATTTGTTATAGATTTAATAAAATTCCCATGTATTTTCAATGATAGATGTTGTAATGAAATTGGGTTATTAGCGGAATGCTTTAAGTAAAACAGCAAACAAGGATATCTTCCATTTAATTCCACTTATTTAATTTTGGTATCCATGATAGATCCGTATTCCGACTACAATGGCAGTGTCATTCCCACTAAAGAATTTTGTGTCATTCCCGGTTTCCTGAATTTTCATAGTGGAAATAACATCCCAACTTCTCGGCTCTTCCATAATTTTTCTTGTAGGGTTGCTTCCCAGACTTTACTTATGAATCCGACTAAGAAACCGACCTGTATAAAAAAGCCAGTTTTTAGAAAAATTAGAAGGTACTTGCTTTAAGTCAATTAACTGTAGTATAGAGCAGCAAGATTTTGGAATCTATTGAAACTGCTGAACAATATAACTACCTATATTAAATTTTGCCTTTCAACTAGAAATATGTTGCTCTAATAGAAAAGAACCCGATTTCTCCATATGATCCGCATGTTAATTACATGACAATTTACCACTTGTGCCAAATATTGCACTTGGGAGTTATGACGAAAACTAACTCACAACCATCAAATCTTTCCTTTATTTAACGTCGGTCTCTGTTCCGCAATCTAGTGCCAAACACCGACGGACATCGATTGCCATCCATTGACGGCAATCGAATGTGCAGGAAGGCAGCTTCCACACCTGCGTAGGATATCGCACCCATTCAAACACACATGGGCCGGGACCAACGGCTTTACTTCCCTTCCGAAGGAAGACGTGACCAGAGATTTTTATGCCTCAGAAAAATCCCACCGACCTCGGCTGGGATTGAACCCAGACCCATTGGGATGGGAAAGCAGTCACGCTTACCACTACACCACCGGCGCCGGTACAAAAGCATCCAAAATGCCAAACACCAACTAATGACCCACTGTAATAACATTCCGATTTATATTTAAAATCTAATTCCAACCAGTTCCGGGTGCTATCGTTAAAAGCAATGAGAAATCTATACTTTGTCCAAGACATGATGGACGGAATAGATAATGCATCTACATCAAATCTAACGATCCGAACGTGACGAAATATCGAAATCAATCGAAAACCATGTTGGAAGCAGCAAATCACCACTGAATCACAAACACAAACCTCTCTTTCTGTCCCTTGCTCTGTCTCTCAGTCAAAAAGTCATCAAATTCCTTCGACGATGAATCGAAAATCACCGCCGCCACCACCACGATCGCAATCTGCTCGGTTCGGGCGGTTGAAAATCCTTCATTCAGCTACCACAGCAGCACGATTTTCTTCGATTGAAACGCACCACATACACCTCTTTCGATTCAAGAATCTGCTAGTCGCAATATTCCGCGCCGCCTTACTTATTCTTCTTCCGTTACTGTTTTGCTTCTTACTTTTTTGCTCTTACGAAAATGCCGTTCTCACTTATCACGCACATACTTCGTGGCAGCACTACCACAATACGCCCGTCGTGGCTTTTTTTGATTCACTGCAACACCACCGCCGCCGCAGCATAGCCGCGCGATAATTCGCCAAGCCAGTAAAAAACGCGTCTCGCACAATTACCGAAAATCCACCACACACTACCCACACACCGACGGCTTGGAGGAATTTGTAGCCGCGCTATCACACACCACTACCAGGCTAGGTCGTGGCAATAAAAAAATTTTTTTTTGGGGCCAATAATTCACACTTTGCACTGCTATCGAACTAGATCGCGCCCGCATTCGATCACGATCACAACCACGATGCAAGCAAAGAACCGAAGATGAACCACCTTGCAGGCGCTTCTTCTTGCCTTGCTTTCGCTCACTCACCACTACCCTTCCTTCGTGGAAAAGAAGCTGGGCCCGAAGGAGCAGACGGCGAAAGCGCGAATAACAACCAAAACAATAATAATAACAGCACCGCGCGAGGCAATGCCAATAATAACAGTAATGATGATGTAGCAACAGCAGGCAGTAGTAATAACAACCGCAGGAAATCCGGAAAATGTGTGTGTACTACAGAAACGGACCCGCGATTCGATGCCGTCGCACCATAGAGAAATAGAGAGGAACGCTCACTTCTATCGGCGAGAGACGGTAACTAACTAAAAACAGGAATTTAATTTGTTATGAATTAGGTATCTGCCGCGACGCGACTGCGAGCCGATGTCTTCGTACCTTCGGGACCCGAACGGCACCCGAGAGAGTCACGAGCTTTGCCCAACCGAATTCGATTCAAAACACAGAGAGGGAGAGAGAGAGTGAGTGAGTGAGTGAGAGCTTTCGCCATCAGAGAGCGCACGCCGGGTCATAAACGTAAATATTCGCGTAAAAATGCCGAACACTGGGGCACTTTTTACAATCAAAACAAACGACGTAAACACTTCTGGACGGGTGTTGGTTGGTTGGTGGATCGATTACGCGCATACGAAACGCGAAAAGGAATATGCGAGAGAAAAAGAGAGAAAGCGAGAGCGCAATGTGTACGTGGGCTTGGGTGTGTAGGTGCAGCCAACTCTCCGCTTCGCAAACCGTGTGAAGAATGTCGTAATGAAAATAAACTAAAAACGTACGTAATTCATAAATCTGTAGGTAGGTAGGTAGGAAGACCGAAGACACTATACTATCATGCACTCGGTCCGAACAGCAAAAAACACAGTGCGAACAAAAGAGGTGTCTTGTTTGCCTTTCTCTCGCGAACGAAAGTATGGATCGCGAAAAAAATAGAGCACGCTCTCGTTTTTTTTTGTTTTTTTTTTTTTAAATTCATTTTTTCTAGAGACATCGGAGGTATGCCGATGCCGTGCTGTCCCGAGTGGTAGAAGGCTGTATAATAGTTACTTTTTTCATAAAGTGGAATTCATGTTAAATATTTGACACACTCAACCGGAAAATGTAAGATTATCTTATAGTTTGGTATAAAATATATAGATAATCTGTAATTTATCACTGCAAATATAGATTCTGTAATGGAGCGATCTCACGACCCTTTCATATTTGTATAAAACTTTTAATATTTCTACGGTATGCGATATAATGTATTGACATAGGCAGGCCTGAACATACTCATTACAGCTGAAATATTAATTTTCGAATTTATGAAACTAGAAGATATTATAATTATAATTTTTACATATGCAAGAAGAGGAGGTAAAGCTTGTGTATGACACATAAAACCAGTCAATTTCGCTTCCAGAGTGTCACAATTAGCGATTAGCTATAATGAATAGTACTCACTCATAACGATTACTTATTGCAGCTAAAATAGCTAATTGTGACCTTCTGAAAGCAAAATAGACTGGTGTTATGCATCATACACAAACTTTACTTTCTCTTCTTGCATCTTGCGTATACAAATTATTATTATAATATCTCATAGTTTCATTATTTCGAAAAGTAGTATTTTAGCTATAATGAGTATGTTCAGGCCTCGACGTAGAACTACGTCTTTGCGAGTATGAAAAATGAACATGTAACGAAAAGTGGTCAGGATCTGGACGATTATAATTTAGCTATTTCATGATATATTTTCTATATTTTTGCATCAATCGAACGGAATTTTCTCCACGTATCGATTCTAAAAGCTAAAGATATTGATTTTCAACAACATACTTTTGAAAAATTGGTGAGCGTCAAGCATCGTCTAAAACATCTTGTAATGGTAGTCTACGGTTGTTCAGTGAATACGAAATAAAGCAAATGATTAAACTTATTGTTTGCATAGACAACATGGTAGCCTGGATTTTTGAAATTAGATAACATTGAAGACCCTTAAATGAATCATATTCAACGTTCGGCAACTGAATAATGATGACCTAATGAACAGCATTCGCTAACTGGTATTTTTGCTGTTGAATGCGTTTAATATTCATGGAAAAGCATTTGAAACCGTCTGACATTTTGATGATACAGAATTTTGACATACATGCGTGTTCTTCAAAATATACTTATTTCAATTTTGTTTTTCAAATAGTGGAGAGTGAACGGCCACGAATGATAAAATCACTGATTGTGACTCTGTGAAAGAGAAATTGAAAGGTTTTATGTGTCAAACTCATACTTGGCAAGCTCTTCTTGTAACTTACGCTACTGAATCCAAAACCCTGCAAATTTCTTACTTTTTCTTCAAAATCAAACAAATGCTGATATTTAGATGAATTGTATGCGCCCAGATTCTAAGTACAGGATATTTAAATCCTCCGCAATTTTCAGGTAAACATGCATGATGTTTAGGTTGAGTTCAAATATCGTACGTTCACAATCTTAATCTTAATCTAATCGTTTCGAGCACAATCTTAATACTCGTGTTTACTACCAGGGTGTTCATTCAAATCAAATTTTGTAATTCCCGGTTTTTCCCGGTTATAAAAAAAACAACCCAAAAATCACCTCTGCCTGAAACAAAGAATGTGTTCAAAAATAACCGTTTTAGATAATACGTCTATTTTGTAGAAAAAATATGAGATGAGACATTAATATGCTGATGATCTAGATCTCCAAAATACCGGCGCCGGTGGTGTAGTGGTAAGCGTGACTGCTTCCTAACACCCCAATGGGTCTGGGTTCAATCCCAACCGAGGTCGGTGGGATTTTTCTGAGGCATAACAATCTCTGGTCACGTTTTCTTTAGAAGGGAAGTAAAGCCGTTGGTCCCGGCCCATGTGTGTTGAATGGGTGCGATATCCTACGCAGGTGTGGAAGCTGCCTTCCTGCACATTCGATTGTCGGCAATTGATCGCAATCGATGTCCGTCGGTGATTGGCACTAGATTGCGGAACAGAGACTGACGTTAAATAAAGGAATGAAGATCTCCAAAATTTCATGCAATCATGAATTCGTATAAAATCAAAGAGTCTCCTGCAATTGAACTCATGATGTTTGCGCTCAAGCTTGAAGATCAGAATCGAGCTCCGAAGCATTGCTTCTTCTTCTTAGCAATGAAATAACATAACTATGGACTGTATGATGAATCGACGGAGATTGTAAGTTAAGTCTCTGCTTTTATATCGCCGATATTCATACCTTCAAATGTGGAGATTAACAAGAGAACATTTAAAAAAAATAGATTTTGAACTGACAATTTTAATAACTCCGAAACATTAAAAATTCTGTGAGATTTCCAAAAAAAGAACTTCAAAATAGCGTCTTCGATAATTTACCCAAAATTACTGGAAATTTTTTACCTTGTATATTTTTCTGAGCAGGAATTATTTTTTCCTGCAATATTGTCTCAGACGTCATTTCGAATGGAAGTTTCATGCAAATCGAATGAGTTGTTGGACAGGTAGATTGAGGTTAGGACGACGCCACTGCACACATTTGCTGCATAAGGCAATTTTTGGCTGTATATGCTAGTCTGCAGCCTAAATTGTTAGTTAGGTAGTGCTTTCCAGTAAAATTTCAAATTGAATAGAGTGTTCGATATATTTTATAGAATTTTTCTTCATTCATAAATTTTAATCGTGATAAGCGTCAGGGAATCAGTTCAATTCATGACTAATAGCGATGTGTGAAGGAAACTGCAACCATCTCGATATCAATCTGCACACAAGGCTTGCTTAATCGCTTAAAGTTTTGAGGAAGTGTGCTCGATTTACTCCATGATGGCGATTTTCTCACCCTTAGAAGCAGTGTTGAAAATATTCACCAAAACTCATTACTCGAACTTTTCCCTTGTTGAACTTCGTGAAATATCGTGAGCTTGTTCAACTCTGCTTAAAAGTTCTTTTCTGACTGTTTCCGAACTCAACGCTAGGGGTAGGAAATTCCCCAGTTCTCCTACATCTTACAAATGAAACAATTGTCTGTGATCATTTAATATTGTTTTTCCTTGAGCGCAATTTGAGACCCAGCTCTGCAAGAAAATTATTCTGGATAATACGCTTAACTAAATACTAATTCGCAGTCAGATTTCTATGACAGAAAATAGTAAAAACTGTGCTTTCACCTCCAAAATTCTGTAAGTTACTTTCATCGCAATTGCAATACTAACACTTCACTGCTAATTTTGCGAGCTAACCAGATTTATAATGAAGACATAGAATACTCAATAAAGCCACTCTATACTGTCGAGGCAAAGCTTGCCTAAGTTTCTTTGAATCATTATTCAATCATAAAAATGCTACTATAAGCAATCAAAGAAAAAATCCACCCAAGCAAGACCATTATCCTAAATTCATATTTAGTTTATTTTTTGAGCTAATCAGGCTGTTATGAACAAAATAAGGAACAAGGACTACGTCTTTTCTTAACTCTTTACCATCTTTGAATATACTCACAAGCGCTCCAATGCGCCCAAAGGATCTACGTTAGGTGCAATTAGGTGTAACATCTATTAAGAGACGCACATACGCATTTGGAGTTCAAATTTGGCAACAACGTCTAATTATTTTTTTTCTTCTTTATTACCGTGATTTTTAGCCGTAGGCTAGTTCATGACGTCGCACACAACGTCTAGTGTTTACGGAAAAAGATTTTTATTAACCCTCAGGATCTCAGTTCAACTCAGGAATGGGTCAAAACCCAGTGGGAGCTGAATTGATATTAGGCGAAAAATCATCAAAATACCCTTTTATTTGAGTAATTCTTGCTCAATTTGAAAAAATACGACATAAAGCATTGAGCAACCACAAATTCGCACCTTGTTGGGTGCTCCAATCAGCACACAAATTTGATTTTTAAAATTTGAAGTTAGATAAACTTTTCCTCCAAATTTGGTCCAAATCGGAAAAATTCAATTTCAAATATCCCGAAAAAAATGGCTCTAATGTTGGCCTATGAATTTAAGATTGGACCCATCGCTAAAAATCTGCTATTTGTCAATTTTATCTACATGAACGCGTCATTGGGACGGTACTAATGGATATTTTTGGTCGCTATTGAAAATTTAGTTGATTACTGAATTTATGTATGGGCCCAAATTAGGGGCATTTAGGCCGACATAACATCCATTTCCCCTATTTGATTAAAATAACTTCTGAAGAGATGTTGTAGGTAATAGTATGGTCTATCTGAAGAGAAAAATCACTGTTAAATCATGCTAATTATTTAAATTGTAATTTTTTTTAAAAGACCCTCACCCCAACTGTTTTTTTTTGTGAAGCAATCTGC